TCTCGTCTTCTCTCTCCAACGAGGAAAAGGGATACGAACTTTGCGCGATCCATCCACGACAGAACGTTCATGACCCAGATGATGGGCATGAGATAGAGATCGATCTTCCGCACCAGCTTCTTCTCGAACTCTGGCGTCCATTGTGGAGCATCGCTGGCGGTTTCGACGATAGGTTGGGCTTTCTCGCTGCCGCCATCCTGAGACAGTGACTTCTCCAAACGACCCATCCCTGCAAGCGAAACTCGGCTTGACCGAGTGCGATGAGCTGGAAAAGGGGGAAGGCAGATGTGCAATGAGCAACCCGGAAGTCGCCCAGCTTGCCAAGTACCGAAACAGCAAACCAGACTCTAGGTGTGTTCGTCTTTCTTATATCTCTTCAAAACGCCCCCGTACGACAGCCACTAACAACCAGCGGAAAGTTGCGTCCGCACACTAGCTGCACACTGGCTGCACCGGCATACCGGAAAGTGAAGCAACACACCACACCCCGATTCTGCACCCCTCACCCAGCGGCCGCATGCGCCGCCGAACGCCAATCGCCCTCCACGTACCCCCCAAAACCGCCCCATTCACCCAGCGAGCGCCGTACGCCACCTACCCCCCCAACGAACATTTCCTGATGTTCCAACCCAGCAGGGGAGCGAAACCCCGTAACACTGGGCGTGTGTGCAGCGGAGGGAGACAAGCCTCTACATCCGATGGAAGCGCCTTGCACCCCCTTCTTTCGGTCATGATCGCGTACCCTCCCAATTTTAGTTGCGCTACATGTTCGCGTTCTGCGGGCGTTCTGGGTGCGTGTGTCTGCCGGTCTCACCTACCAATGACTGCTCCGGGACGGGGCGTCGTGAGCGAACGTTTGCAGTGTGCGTGCCCCTCCGACGCCGCACCGCAAGCCTCCGCGTGGCCCACACCTTACCGGCGCGGTGTGCTTCCGCGACGCAGCGTAGCGTGCCTACTGTATGGCTTGAGCATTATCCTAACCCGGGAATGCAAAGGCCGAGGACGGTACTTTGAAGATGGATACTGATAAACGCGTTGATTTGGCAGTTGAAATAAACGGAATTTCCTCCGATGCAGAGCGCTAAGACAGGAAACGCATGCCATACCGTCGAAGGCCGAAGGAAATCCCCGGGCCTGGAACAGCGGTGTGAGTACCCGCAGCGCCGCCCCCCCAACCCCCGAAAACACAGGTCAGATATCGAGGTAAGGAGACAAGACAAAGACGTTATTGACCCCCATGAGTGTAGACTGACAAGTTGGTCTAGAAACAAGCTAGATGTGCGCGACTGCGGCAAAGTGCAGCATGCAGCGTTGAAGAGGCTTGCTTGGCACCACCGCCGAACGATGCTAAAAAGCGTCCCCGCATGGTTCCCCGCCGAAAGATTACTCAGTTCTTTGCAACAAGAGTTCGCGCCGGGGAGCCCGCTGGCTGGTCCGATTGGCTTGGCGTTTCCACTTGATAATGACGGACAGGTTGGGGGCGTTGCGACACAACCACGAGAGAGGATAAGTTTGTTATCCCCAAAGGTAATTTTTTTTTTTAAAAAAAAAGGCAAGGAATGTAACTTGGTGAATTAGAGCAGCATCTTCTGCTGTCGATGTTCGCTGTCTGCCTCCCACGCGTGGGGGAAAAGCTGCATGCCCGCAAATGCGGGGATCTTTCCCACCCACCACTTCAATACCATCGAATGAGAACTTGGCTACCGTTTCCGGAAGCGCGTTACCTAAGGTGTTGCGCATGGTTGCCAGACGGGAGTGAAGTTGGCCCTTAGGCCCTTGGCCATATCTGTGGAGTTGCCGCCGAGAGTGCCGCCCGAAAGGGAACCATCGGCCCGCTTCGCCCCGATGAGACCAGCGCCGATGCGGATGCTGAGGAGGGGGACATCGCCCGAGGCGGGCACGCACGCCGACCAGATGTCGCCGGTGTCGGGCTTGGTGTCGAATGTCTCTTCAAACTCGTTGCCCTTGAGCTTGTCCTTGCCGATGGTGAGGGTTGCGGCCTGAAATGTCAGTTACTGGTGTCTTCACAAGGGAAAGGAGAACTCACCCCCGCCGCCTTGCCACCGAGGTTGGTCTGGACCGACAACGAAATCTTGGTGTCTGCATCAATCTCTGCCCACCCACCGATCGTGATGCTCTTCACGCGGAGCTGCATGCCAACGGGCCCATTGCCAAGGGTTATCTGCTCGACGCACCACTTCTCGGCCTCCTCAGGGGTGTCGTCAGTGTCGGGTAGGGACAACCCCCACTCGCGGAACACAAAAACGGGCGCACCACCCTTAGTCACTTGGCTGATAGGGCCTCCGCCAATAGGACATCCTGTTCCATAAACGGTCATGTTGTTGACTGTGACTGCTGTGGGGGGGGGAGCAGGCGGCGCTGTCTGCGGAAGACATGTTGCCAGTGGTAACAATGACAGCAGTAGGGGAATTCCCCAGACTTGGTTCGACAGCATCGTCTCGGTTTGGAATCGGGGAAACGAAGTGGCCGAGATTCTGAGATTTGACGAGCTGGAGGGCGAAGGGAAACAGGGAACATATGGACGTCCCCGCGCCTGGTCCTCATGTTTATACATCAACCGCCTAACCCGGCCGATGGGATCATAGCTCGAGAAGCGAGATATGCTTCCCGCAAGTCCCCATGTTCCACTCGCAAGAGCTTTCAGGTTGGTGCCCTACGACGGGCCGACTAGCCAAGTGTGGTTGTAGAATATTGAAGTTGCTTCAGCCGCCGTCCCTTCAACGAGGTGCACCAATCGAGAGCGGCTCCGGCATGCTGGTAATTTACTCGCTTGTGCGGGTAAAGGCGGGTTGATGGTGCTGTTTCTAATTCGGACCTCTTCCTATCGTATTTTCTCCGGGTTCGTGCCAAGCATGGTAAATGGTGTCTTGGTCCAGCCGCTGTCGCTTGCGATGCACAATCGTCGCTTTGTGGCGAACATCGAGATGTCTTGCAACAACTCTGTCCAGGATCCCTCGCTCGCTATGAGCAAGCCCCCGGTGGGGTTTCGACCAGCTGGAAATGCCCATTTGAGACGGTCGGATCGATGCTGCTCAAAAACTAGAAAGCCAGTCCATCTTTCGCATACCGCCTGCAGAACTGAGATGAACTGCCAGACACGCGCCAAGCCTTGGAGTTCTCCCGATGTCAAAGACCTCCTTGGTGTGCTTGGCGTTGGGCGTTGACACGATCTGGCGAACTTGGCGATGCAACCCCTGCGCTCAACCCCAAGCGTTTCAGCCACCGTAGTGAAACGTCAAACATTCTCCATCGACACCCCCCCAAAAAAAAGGGACAGTCGCGTCTGTCATCTCAAATTCGACTTCCTCAACACCAAAATCTCAACGATGCGGCTCGAATATGCATTTCTCTTCGCGATATGCGCTGGCGTAGCGCGCCCGGCAGATTCACCCCTCTGTCCGTGGACCCCGGCAACCCCGTGTCTCCTAGATGAAGCGCCGCAACAGATCCTCAGAGAAGAACCACCACCACCGTCAAAATGGCAGGAAACCGGAAAGTGCGCCGGGAAGTGGTGCATCTTTGTGAACCGCGGATTCGGTAATGGCGAGGGAACCGTGGCCATAACAACCAAGCCAAACTTTGAGAAACTCCTCAAAATCGAGGACACTCGCCACGAGAGCGCCGCCAGCGCGCCCCCGTATTTCATCGACCAAGTCCCCGGAAAAGGCCTCGGCGTCATCGCAAACACCACCCTCCGCCGAGGCGACCCCGTCATGCACGAGAATCCCGCCCTGCTCGTCCACCGCGAGCTCGAACGCTCCACCACCGTCCCCCAGCACGAGCAATTCGCCCTGCTCGATACCGCCCTGGAGCAACTCCCCCCAAGACGACGCGACCAATTCCTAGCCCAAATGGGCCACTTTGGCGGACACCGCATCACCGACATCCTCACAACCAACGCCTTCCAGCTGGACCTCGGCGGGGAAGACGGCCACCACTACGCCAGCTTTCCCGGCGTGTCGCGGTACAACCACGACTGCCGACCCAACGTGGCGTTTTACATCAGCAGCAAGCTGGAGCACATCACGACCGTCGTGAGAGATGCTCGGCCCGGCGAGGAGTTATCCATCACGTATCTCGACTCTTCAAAGCCACGCGAGGAGCGACGATCGCGGGCGCGAAACGCATGGGGATTCCAATGCACGTGCTCGCAGTGTGCCTTGTCAGACGCTGCGTCGGCGCTATCAGATGCGCGGTTGGTTGAGATCAAGCAGATTGAGAAGGTGATTTCCGACCCGCTCAGTGAGGGCGTGACGCCGGGTTTGCTGCGGAGGCTTGCGAAGTTGTACAGGGATGATCGATTGGAGGTTGAGATGGGTAGTGCGTGGACGCTCATGGCGCTTAATTATAACATGTTGGGGGATGCGACGGCGGCGGTGAAGTATGCGAGGTTGGCTGAGGAAGCTGTTGTTATTGAGGGGGGACAGGATGTTGGGGATGCGAAGGCGATGCGGGAGCTGGCGGCGGGTTCAAAGGAGCATTTTACTTGGAGGAGAAGATTGCCGGGTTGAGACTTGGTTGTACGTTTTTGGTAGGCGTTCGGGGCTTGTCGAGGATGTATGAATAACGATCAGTTCCTGGTGGAAGAGCAACTGCTCTGTCTAAAAGGTGTTCGGTGTCCGAGGAACGCAGTGACGAAGAGGCGATGCCGGGTCCCAGGAAGAGCGTTTGGGGATGGAGACGGGGATTGTCCCCGTTCCGAGCCCCACAGGTGAATTCCCGCGGCGAAGCGACCGCATTGCCGATCTTGAGGACAAAATACCCGACGCTGCGCATCGAAAAGAGTGCGCGGAAGTGTTGGGAGGAAGGAGGTTGGCTATCCGAAATATGAGCAAAACATTGGCCCCTGGCCGGGCGCTCCTTCCTCGCCCCACACCCAGCTTCCACCAAGAGCGCTGGCAAGGCCAAATCCGTCTCCACATTGTCCGCTCTCACCAAAATGGGAGCGGAGGCAACAAAAATGCAAAAGACGAGCTGTTTGCCCAAGAACAGGATTGAACTGTTGACTTTGGCATTACTTGACATCTCTATGCGAAGATATTTGTATCACGCTCTGGCCAGCTGGGCTAATCGGGCTTCGCTGGTTTCCCTTTGTTGGAAAGAATGTCTATTGTGTGATTGGCGGGCCAGGGGCCAACTCGTGTTCACCCCTGATCTGGAGACAAAGGAGAGGGCGAAACTCTTCACGCACCTTGCTGCGCTTCTCTCCCTTCCTCCTTTCTTTTCTCTGCCACGTAATCTACGCCCGTTACAACTCTCCCTGAGACGCCAAAAATCTCCCCAAATCTAAACCTTCTACCCTGGAATCTCTTCGACACGTCCTCTTTAGCATCCAACCCCGCACCCCTCAAGTCGTCCACAATCTCTGAATCACAAAGGTAGTACATCTGCCCGACCAAGCCTTCCGGGTCGACAGGGAAATGCGGATTCTTCACTACAAAGTGGCCGTACAGCAAAACAAGAATCATGAACCCCAGCGTTCCGATGGTCGCCCAGGTGCTACTCTCGTGCATTTCCCACGTCTGGAAAGGCGAAAAGGGTATCATGGAGAGAAGAATGGGGAGGAACTTCGACAAGATGCTCGTGAATGCAACGAGGGTGACGAACCACTCCCGCCGGGCGATCGAACCAATAATGCCGACGAATGGAGATGTCGGGCGGGGTGTGGTTAAAACGTGTGGCAGCGCAGTGTGCCAAAGCCGACGGTATGGCTCACGGAGCGATACCCCTAGCAGAGGTTAGTTCCGGAAGGGGAGGTATCGGGCATGGCGATCACTCACAAGAGAAGTAGTAGTCCCAGAAAAAGGCGAGGAAAATACCAAACGCAGTAAAGAGCACACGAATGCCAAAGTCTTGATTGTTCATGAACTGTTCAAAGGGTGTGTCAGGATGTATGGTGTTCTCGTAGTAGGTAACGAGAATCAGTAGGCCGCTGATGTAGAGCAGGCCGGAGTAGAAGAAGATTCGGTCCTTGGTTACCTGGATGTTGAATCAGTCAGGAGAACTAAGCGATATTATTGAACCGCAGATGCTTACCCAGCTCAGCCTCCTCATTTTAAACGTACCCCCAATCTCCGAGAGCGTTGTCGCCGTTCGAGTCAGCCATACACCCGACCTTGTAGTTGTCGGCGTACGAATCGTCGTCTTAATCCTCTGCGCCACAATCCCATAGCCCCTCGACCCCCCAGAGAAATTGTAGCCGACAAAGTATCGATGGCTATCTAGCCGTCTGATGATCTCCTTGTCTGTCACAATCCCCGTCCTATCATCCACATGGATATCTCTCAGCACCCGACGCAATTCCGAATCCTGCATCAACGCCCCCACAGAAGCGATGCTTCCGGGTGCCATGGTTGCCCCAGATTTCCACTTTCGCAGTAGAAGAAAGAGACTCAGCACAAGCACCAAGTTCACACCCACGAGACCCTCGACAACCCTGGCAGGGATGGAAAATATGGCCAGACCCATGTAACAGCCACGCGCATCATCCTCCCTGCAACTCCCGCCTAGTTTGATCCCCACCGCTTCGCTCGACAATGCGGTGATGATGGCAGTCAAGAGAACAAGAAGGTCAGCCAAGATCCTGATGGGCTCGTGATGCCGATACAGCAGATGCGCGCCGTGAAAGAAAGGAAAGGTGCCGGACGTCGAAAGCAACGTCTTCGCTCCCACCCCGGCTGGGCGAGTGAGTTCCTTCAGCGGCATCACGGCGTAAAGACTGTCGGAGATGGCATCGGTCATGATGGAGGCGAGCACGGCGAAGAACACGGGGAGGAACGAAACGGCCCAGTACTCTTCGGGGGTGGCGATGTGGAAGGCGGTACCTCCGTCTGGGGTTGGTGAAAAGGGCGAGAAGGGGGCAGCGGTCGGTGCGCGGGTGATGGTTGCCGTGGGGACGCCATGGGAATCGGTGAGAGTGATGACCCGGGCGGCGCCAGAAGGTAGCCCAAGGGTAATTGTTGCTGTGGGAGAACCTCTAGAGTCGCGTTGAGTAATGGTGGTTTGAGGGCCAAGGTATTTGGTGCTATAACCAGTGGTTTTCCCCGAAAAGTCCATCAGTGGGATGACTTGATATGCGTCGCCATATCTGCTGGCCCCAGGAGAGGGTCGAAGTTGAGTGCGGGTAGCTGTGGTAACCCCTGAAGCATCGGTGTGGTAGAAGACATCGGCCGTGACGATAGCGGTTATGACTCCAAACTCGTTCCTCTGCTCAATGATAGTTTGGCTGTCGGGGGTAGCCGTGGCCCAGGGATCATAGGGACTGCGTGGTCCTGTGCAGGCGGTTGGGTCCTCATTTGGACTGCATCCAAGAAGCGGGATGTCACAACGGCGCGCCTCGTCGCCTTCTCGATCTCCAAAGCTGCCCATGTCCCCCGAGTTAACCAGGTCCATATACTCCACTGTGTCACGTCCTTGCAATTCAGTCTTCTTGGCGGCATAGTCGACAACTCGTAACCACCTCTCATAACAATCGTTGTTCACAAAAGCAAAGTCGTCACCCGTGCATATGACCATGCCCTGCGCTGTGAGACCCCGATCCCTCTCTTCAGCCGTGTCCAATGGAGTCGCCTGCTCCAATGAAGTCACACAATATTCCCCACGGCTGGGCCAGGTGACAGCCGATGGTCGGTACCAACTGAATTGAACACGGTCCATAACCTCAATGTACTCGTCGTCGGGCCCCGCGTCAATCTTCGAGTACGTGCTAATATGTAGCATGAGATCAATCCACGCTGGGCGGTGCTGAAGCCGGCCGTAGGTACTTTCGTCTTGACGTCGGCGCGTCAGGTTTTGCGCATCGACTGTCCGATTGAAGCTGTTGAAGTAGTCGCTGAAATATTGCGCCGAAGTCAATTTCTTCGACCAGCTCTGGTTCATCGGCGTGAGGACATCCAGCCATTCAGGCCCGTACGCCAGCCGGCCTTCAAACTCGACCGGGGGTCGAAGAGCGGTGGTGTTATCGTAGTGTGTCGTGTTTTGCCTCCTGATATGAAGGGCTCGTCGTTTGGGAAACTGCGTTGCGACTGGAAATCCCGCTGCCGACGTTGCGGGCGTTTTGCGGGTACCGAATAGCGGCGCCGAAACGATGACTGCTGGGCCGTTTTCACGTGCTCCTTGAGGCACCGTCTGGTAGCCCGAGGACACTGGCAGACTTCGGCAGGCCCATTCCAAAACAGAGAGGACCATGCAGAGGTAGACGAAAAGGACAGCTAAAAATGACGATTTTATGCACGCGGGCTTGATATTCGGGCTCGTTGGCTGCGGTTGCTCGCGAACGTGTTGCATGTTTCCATTGAAAGGACCGTACTGGGCCCGTCGTCAAAGAGGGATCTTTTGTTGTAGAGGGGATGTTTCGATGGCAAGGCGCGATAGTTGTTCTTTATTGCTTCGCTCCGGGCAAACGCGACGTGGCCAGCGGATGCAACCCAACTGCGCCCTTGAATCAATGTCCCACACCTGATGGGTTATTGCGGCGGTGAGTCGACCGCCGTTTTGCCTGAAATCACCCACGCAAGCCAGGCCTGGCTGTGGCGTGGCATGATATTGCCCTCGTTCACCAATCTGCCGCAGTGAGGCGCAGTGTCCTGCGCAAGTGCCAGCCAACTTGTGTAACGATCGGCGATAATCGATCTGTGTGACAACCTCTATGAAAAGTCTTTCTTGCAAGGCTTGGCGCAGTGCGAAGACGGCAGCGGCGGGCGGCGGGGTCGTTGTCTTCCAGTAAGACCTGCATTCAATGGCGACACGCCAGGGGATTCTTCCTTTGTTCAGAGCCTCAAGTGAAGGGCGGTTCATACTCACACCGGATCTTGTTCTAAAGATGGGCCTGGCATTCGCCATTGTGCCAATAGAGTTGAGCACCCCTGTCATATCAGTACCACCTCTTGCACCTGATTCCAGCCACCGTTGAACACTCGCCCGTAATATATCCCAACCCTCCGGTAGACACCTGCGGCCTCTGCTTCTTCCAGAACAAGAGCGACCTCGCAGTGAGAAGAGCCACGCTTTTCCAACAGACGGAGATACACGCGCTGATGTGGACCCGGGAGGGTGTTCTCGACGTCAAGAGAGATGGATCCGTAGACACAGTCCCCCTTCCCCTGAGAATCATGGGCCGGGCTCGCAGGAGGATGCTCTCCTTGCCATTCAGCGCCATAGATGACAGATCCTTTCAGGAGCAGCTTCTGTTCGGTACCATCCGGAAGCCTTGAGTGTGCTTGATCAATCGCGTCAGGGCACACAAGTTTGACCGAACAGTTGAGACAACCCCACGACCATGTAGGAGCTCGGGGGGAACGGGCCGGTGCCGGAGTTCGAGCCCTCCATCCAAGCGTTACTGGCCAAGCCAGAGCAACGCCAAAATGAAAGTTCCCATCAAATTTCGATTGGATTGCGTCGGTGATTCCCCGAAATGCATGCAGCCTGTCCTCGGGGTTGGTCATCTCCCGCTCCGTGTAGCAGAGCAGTATCTGACTCCAGACCCGGCCAATCTTCCCCGACAAACCAAAATCCAACAACAGGTTAGGGCTGGGATTCCTGTAAAAGTACCCTTTGACAAAACTGCGACGCAGTGGAGTGAGACCTTGTTCCGTGCGGCACTCAGTGAAGACATCGTAGGTTGAGAAAACGACTTTGCGGCGTGCCAGCATGCTCTCCTGAAGCGCCCAAGCCCGCGTGTCAAGGGGCTCCTGGCCGATCCTTCTTGCAGCAACGTTCCTTGTCGCCACCAGCTGCAAGCTCTCAATCGGACCAGAGGATGGTTGGATCTGAATAGGGCAGCCCTCGAGAAACTGCTTCCATTCAGGACTCCAGTCCTGGTACAGGAAGCAGTCAGTGGACGCCGAAGAATTGGCCGCAACAATGACCGCAAAGGCGTTGGTGTAGATCCGACCCATCTGGCTGATCTCAGACTGAATATTCTCTGCGTCGTCCTGCACGATGCAAAGCGCATCAACCCACAGATAGCGGAATCCCATTTGACGAGTTGCGTGGATTGCATCTTGGAGAGCACCACCAAGTTCGCCCACAGGAATGGACTGCTCCAGGGCTGTGAGAGACGCTTTCGTTGCTGTGAC